TCTCATTAAAAAATTAATATAAAATGTTGACGTGGCTTAACCGTGACCGCACAAAATAGGAGGGCATGGAAGGGCACCACAACTAGGAGGGCAGACAATCCTTGTCCAGTATTATAGAGGAGTAGCAATGACATTGAGTAGATGAGGATGGAGGCTGAAGGATTTTTACCCTTTTAACCTAATATTCTTTCAAATTCGACAGAAAGAAAAAAAAAAACCCTAATATTCATTCTGGATATATTTTTAATTAATTTGAACTTTGTTTTTAACTTTTTTGCCATTGCTGCACATTTAGGGGTGGTTTGGGAGTGAGGTGCTTAAAAAAGCACCTATGAAAAAAAGCTGTGGGGGGTTTTAGGTGTTTGGTAAACTGAAAAAAAAAACTTATTTTGGAAGCTGCTGTGAGAATAAGTTGAAATCAAAGGAAAAAGCTGAAGCTGCTATTTGCAGCTTTGGAAAACTGGCTTTTTTTAAAAGCACACGGAGCTACAGTGCTCCTTTAATGAAAAGACACACTATCAGATTGCTTTTTTTTTTTCCAAAAGCACTTTTACAAAAAAGTTTACCAAACACTCTGCTGATTTATTTCACATCCGCTTATTCTCACAGCACAGCCGCTTATTCTCACAGCAACTTTTTTTCAAAGCACAGCAATACCAAACCAGCTCTTAGTCTTCTCAACAAACACAACAGGCCATACAATCTGGAGGGGAAACTAAAAAAGAAATTATTATTAGTATATGGAAGATTCATAAACAAGTAGAAACTTCACCAAATTATTCTACTTGTCCACAGAAGTCGAACTCCAAAATGCTTTCATAATTCCCATAAAGAAACTTCACCAAATTATTCAATTTGAGATTTTATTTTCTAAATGGGTGTAAAGATAAATTTACATTTTAACTTGGGTTTGTGAGGTTAGTTTAGGTAGTAAATTTGGGTTTAAAGAGATATTAAGTATTTAATTAAAAATAATACAAGTGTAGAAAGTAAGTTGGGTGTAGAAAGAGGTAATATGAGTTCAAATAAAATTTCTCATATTGTATTTGACACAAGTAGTATATGTCATCGATTAACGATGTCATCAAAACTAGCCAAATTATGTGTTAAAATATGTTCTTTGTACAAAAGTGTAATTTGGAATGATAAATTTGACAACTATATTTCTACTTGTAACATGTTTACTTAGTAGGAATGAAAAAAGTAATAAGTTGTAAAATTTAGAAATAAAGTAAGTAAGAAAAGAAGTCTAATCAACTAGGTACTTCCTAGGTGATCTGATTCATGAATTTCATGTATTGGATTATGATTTTTAAGCAAAAAAAATCCACATTTTTTTGTCCTAATTCTATGTGTAGTAAACCCAAGAAGAGCTAGTACTTTAAGGATTTCAAAACCCATATCATAGAAAACAAAGCTGAAGAATCATAATAATTTCAATTCTCATTACCTATAAGTGACATGTTTAGTTTTTTTTTATATGAAAAATTACACTAAATTTATCTGAATTACAAGGATAATAATTCCAATTTGAGTGCAAAAAAAGAAATACATTACTCAAACCAACATGATTAAGCTTACATTTTGTAAGTAACATGTTATTGACATATAATGTTTTAGTTGGCCTAGCCCACGGATCACATCCACATTACAAGTGTGTTTTGTTATGTTAATATGTTATTATAATTTTTCGAATTCATAATTTAATTTTGCGGATAAAGCTCTTTTAAAAGTCTTAATCTGAAAATAATCTATTATCTTCATATTAATTTGTTTTGGTTAATAAAAGTTTAAAGGAAGAGGAGTCTACCTCATTTTAGAGTCAGGACATACCACAAATCTCTTTAAAATTTATATGTTAATTTTTTGTTAGCAAAGGATAAAATAGTCCACATAAAATTCATTTAAACTATTTCATCAAAACAAAAAGAATTCATTTAAACTGGGGGAAAAAAAAAATTTGATTTAGATTCAGAGAAATAAGAACGCAACTCCAATTAATTTGGATAAGACATGTTAAAATAAGTAACTTTTGTCCTTTGCTTTTTCATTTTTCTCACTTGGCTAATGTCGACCAATGTCTCCATCTGATGATCGACTTTGGCCGAGTCAATAGGTCATCAGATGTTCATAGCAAATGACTGAGAGATGGCTTTCAAACTTCCCCAATCAACCTTCCGCGTTTTTCAGTGGACTTGACTTGGGTCAAAACCCTAACGTGAAGCCACGTTTAACCCAAAAGAAAAGTTGAATCCAAATAAAATAAGAACCAACACAAACTTTTTGACCGTAAACACGAGTTGAGGCAAGCTAATTAAAACAATGTGCTACGTCTCGATATTCAAGTTCGAATTTTCATTCTTGTAATTTAAAATAATTTATATAATTTCTATGATCATATCGCTTGTCAATGAAAACGAAAGTTTTAAGCACCCAAATGAAAAACAAAGTGTAATCCAAATTTTTGTACATTTCCAATGATTTTGTAAGTTTATCCAAAATGCAGGAAGATTGTGAAACTTGAAGCGATGCTTTACAAGCATTTCCTGATGTGGACTGTGGACCACACAAGTACAACTCCTAGTACACGCCACAGGCATGGCATTGGCGATTTCCAGCTGCCCGATAAGTTTTTCGACTCTTAATCGAAACTTGAAACCAGGAAATCCAAATGAGGATGGTGACGCTTTTGACTCGTTCGTGCGAAACAAACTGCTCTCCTTGTCTATGCATATGGAGTGTCGATGGGGGGTCTCTTTCCGCATATACTAATTAAACGGCAATACAAACAAAGCAAGGACAAATAATATACTAATTCTACGCCTAGTGCCCTAAAGCTTTGTGGTTTGGGAGTCATTGACCTAAAGCTTGTTACATGGGTTAAATCACTACTGTTACTAGAAAAATAAAATTTAAAAAAAAATCGAAAAAAAAACGAAAAAATAATAATATATATACCAAATTATTATGTGTGAAGTCTTAAATAAAGAGGACGAAAGGTAAGGATTTTAGTCGAATCTCCCTAGCTATGTTAGTTCACTTTACACCAAACGAAGTTCATGAATTCTTTTCTAATTGTTTCTAAATGGCTTAGACTTTATAGTGGGATTGGTTGGAACTTTTGGAAAGATGTTTTAGTTTTTAACGTTTTCTATTGATTGCAACTTGAAGATAAAAATTTTGTCTTAGTTGAGTTTTAATAAAGTTTGGGTAAATTACACAGTAACCCCTCAGGTTTTGAGGTCTATTACAACTCCATACAACAACTATAAAACATTTCACTTTCATACCTCAAGTACTATTTTATTTCAATATAATACATCCGTTAGATTTTCCATCTATTAATCTGTTAAATGCTGACGTGGCTGCCAAATGTCTGCCACGTGGCCAAAAAAAATATTATTTATTTTTTTTTTCTTTTCTTCCTCCCTCTTTTTTTTTTCTTCTTTGTCGCTGGGGTTGGGGGGGGGTTAGGTTTTTTTTTCTTTTCTGCCTCCCTCGGGTTGGGGGGGGGGGGGGGTTAGGTTTTTTTTTCTTTTCTGCCTCCCTCTTTTTCTTCTTCTTCTTCTTTTTCTTCTTCTTCCTCTTCTTCTTCTTCTTCTTCTTCTTCTTTGTCGCTGGGGTTGGGGGGGGGGGGGGGGGGGGGGGGGGTGGGGTTAGGGACAAATTTTTTTTTTTCTTTTTCTTCCTCCCTCTTCGTCTTCTTCTTCTTCTTCTTTGTCGTTGGGGTTGGGGGGGGGGGCTCTTCTTCTTCTGGGTCGCTGGGTGGGGGGGGGAGGGTCAAATTTTTTTTTTTTTCTTTTCTTCCTCCCTCTTCTTCTTCTTCTTCTTCTTCTGGGTCGCTGGAGGGGGGAGGACAATTTTTTTTTCTTTTTCTTTCTTCCTCCCTATTATTCTTCTTCTTGCAGATCTGAGGTTTTTTTTTGTTGAGAAAATTCAGGTTTTTTAAAAAAATATTTTATTTGCCACGTGGCAAACATATGGCAGCCACATGGCACAAATGTGGCAGCCACGTCAGCATTTAACGGATTAATGAATGGAAAATCTAACGGATGTATTATATTGAAATAAAATAGTACTTGAGGTATGAAAGTGAAATGTTTTAAAGTTGTTGTATGAGGTTGAAATGGACCCCAAACCTGAGGTATGAAAGTGTAATTTACCCATAAAGTTTTTAAGTTTGCTAGTTTTTATCTTTGTTTTTTAGTTTTGTTTTGCTTGAGGACAAGCAAAAAGCTAAGTTTGGAGGTATTTGATGAGTCCATATTATACTATATATTTTACCCTAATCTTAGTATTAATTTATTGGTTATTTTGTGAGATTTTGATACTTTTTATACATTTTCAATGTAGGACATTCAATTTCTTTATCAAGAAATTGGTGCCGTTGCTCAGCTCCAGGTCCTGTCTTTAAACCCAGGTGTGTTCATTCCCTTTATTTTCTAGTCAATTACTACAAAATAAATGGTCATTTGCGAGGGTCAAAATTCGTCGGAAAAGGCATTTTGCGATCACAAATACTTATTTACGACGGGAAAAAGCCCTCTCTGGGCGTCACACATTGATTCATTGGAAATACTTTTTTTTTTTACCAGCCGTCGAAAATGTTCATTTACGACGCTTGTGGCTTGTCGTCACTAGTTAGCTTTTAGTCGAAATTGATTTTTCAAAATGACAAAATTATTTTATCTTCGACATGTATGTGTGGTCGCAAATACTTGTATGGTCGTTGAATATACTTTCCAAACGACGACATCTATTTTTTGCAATGATTTTCTTACGACCAAAACATTATGGCGAAAAATGAGTTTCCAACAGTAAAATGTTGTTTACAAGAGCGCACAATCGTCGCAACTATGATTACTGACAGTTAAGAACTGTCAAAAATACGCACAAACATATTTGTGAGGGTCAAGAGTCTTTGGAATTATACATTTCCGTTGATCCTACTTTGTCGGCAAAAATAAAAGGATACAAATACTTTTTTTTTAATTTAATAATATTTTCAATGCCAATTTTTATTGAACGAATTGTGTTATATTAATGTAAAATTTTTGCAAGTACTTGTTACAATCCTATGATATGTCTTATAATGCTAGTTTTTCATGTCCACTTTAACCAACTGTCAAGGAGTTTGAATGTAGTGCTACCAACATTGATCCACAATTATTATCTTTATTCTGCAAAAAAAAATTGATAACTTATATCAAGCACAATATAGTTGTCAATTAGTAAGAAACCTAAACAATGAAAATCTGAAAAATAAGCATAAGCTCTAATGAAGAGCCTTGCATAATTTTAGCTCAAGGTGTGAGCATAGCAACCACCAATCTATACCATAAATAATGCGAGTAGTTGAAGTGAAAATTAAACACACCTCCAATACATTCTTCAATTTTTCTCTTACCACCCTAAGATCAGAGAATGCTCATAAATCCAAATAATCTAAAAAATATAAGGAAAGTAAAACTATATGCACAATTTAACAATTCTGATGTTTCACAGTTTCAGGATTATAAGGACAACTATATCACATAAACTGAACCATAATCACAAGTTAGCAGAGAAGTTAAAGTATATGCCAAATCACAAGTTCACAAAGAGGTTAAACTGAACCACACACATGCTGAGATCCAAAACCAGCCACAAAGCTAGCACATACTTTAAATATTCTAATACTATAACCCACACACTGCATTACATATTCCAACATGCTATCCAATTCAAACCCAATTCATAAATCAACCAAAAATCAAACCAATAAATCGAATCGAGAAATTTGTTTATTACCTTTTGTGAGCTTTGGCGGGGAAGAGCTTGACGATCTCATTAGTGGACATGTCGAGAAGAGCATCCAAATCGACGTGCATGTACTCACCAGTGTTGTACTCTGAGCTTCCACCCTTCTCTATCAGACTACCAACCTTATCAACATGACATAACATAGCCATTATGTTATCGCTTCCAATATTTTCAGGCTCAGGATTAGAAGAATAATTCCTTGAGTGATAATCTGATGCATTAAAGCCAGGCCCAAAGCCCCAATGAGCAATAGGGTCAACTTGCGCAGGTATACCAGTTCCGTGACTCGATCCCCCTAAAATTTTGGTAGCACCAGAGTTAGCTACATCTACCTTAGGGTTATCCTAAAGACAACCTGAAACAAATAAAAGTGCTTTCTTCACAATTGAAAAGTCTTCTGTTATTTGCATATCAAACAAACAGGAATATAGCCATGAGTAATGCACTAGCACAACAAAACCAAAACATGTTATTTGCATCCCCACAGTAGATGAAGCATGCTTCCCTCGTAATGTTAACAATCATTGTCCTGTTTGTATTTATTAACCCTTTTCTTTGCCCTTGGGCATGTTTTGAGTTAAAGTCCTACCATCTTTGCCTGGATGAAAACGTCTAGTAATGGAAATCATGTCTCTGTAGTTTTAGCGAAAATTCATAATGTGGTCTTCCTCATTTATGCATATTTGTAATAAGATATGAAGAGCACTCGCTAACATTTAGGTCTAAGCACGAATATACATCATTGTATTCAGAAGAACTTCGGTGGGACTTACACATCACACCAAGTCATTATGCAGACATGACGAGTCTAATCACTCAAAGAAATTCATTTCTGCATATATAAAGATACTAAACCAATAACTTTGAAATAAGCTACCTAAAAAGCACACAATTACAAAGTACCAACATTTCTATCATCTCCAATGCAAGTAAACGAAAGCAACTGAACCGAAAAAAAAAGAAGCATTCTTTATCTGAATCAACTCATCTGTAGGGGATGCACATGGCGGAATCTGGTCTATGGGAAAAATCCTAAAGTGGGCTCCACTCTCCTGGCTAATCTTCTCCACAATCTTGCCTCATTTCCCAAGCACACACCGAGCCGTCTCCGCCACTATTACCTTTTTCTGCTTCATATGCGTTGTCTAACGCTGCCTTCCTAAAAACCCTTACCAGGGCTTGCTGGGCAATGGACAGATGAATCAATGGAGTGAGCATCGGAGGTGAAAATAATGGCAAAACCAAGGCTGAATTTATAAGGTTTTCAACGAAATTGGGGAAATTTGCTCCATAAACAAAGCTTTTGATGGCAGTTTTGAAGAGACAAATACATATCAATCTAGAAAAGTTAGAACTAAAGTTTACCCAAATTATAGGTGGTGGAGTACAGATGTGCATGTGGATGGCTATTAGAGGCAAGTACCTGCAAATTCAAATCCAAATTTATAAAGAAAAATGATAAAAATATGAAACATATTCAACCTTAGAACATTGGCCGGAAAACGGTGGTCTCGTGAGTCTGCGAGATGAGGATTAGGTGTGGATTTGAGTTTTGTTGGAATGGATCTCTTGGGTTCTTGAATTTTCGGTGGTGGGCAGCAAGCGACATGGAGAGGAGACCATGGATTGCGACAAAGCGATGGAGAGAGAGAAGCTACGAGAGATTTTGAGAAATGAAGGATGAAGGCTAGGGTTTTGTTTCTGAAAAAAGAAAGGCAGAGAAGTTGTGAGAGAGAAATGAAAATGAGGAGAGAGCGCTAAATGGCGTTCTCTTTGGAAATATGGTTTAGTTTTTGGGCACCATAACAAAAACACTTTTATGATTTAATTGCTAGATTAAATTCAACGGTAAGGATCAAGGTTCTAACAGATGCTAGGTGCTAGTTGGGCGGCGGGCTGGGGCCTAGCGCCTAGGCGGACTAGGTGGATTTAAGTAAATCTATTATATTTCATATAAATAAGTGTCTGCATATACTTTAAATATATATAATTTCATCATAAACCACAAAATAGAGTGACATATATTATGAAGTGTTGAACATAATGAAAATATGTGGAACAATGATATAATGTGTGTTCATTTAAGTATGCAACAATTCTCTTACAATTTATTGAAAAAAAATAAAATGCAAAATGAAAATTATCTATTTTTTGTTTAAGTGAGTCGTGACCTAGACGGGTTTGGGCAAAATAGGTGGGTGCCTAGGCGGTCTAGGCGAACGCCTTAGCAGGTCTAGGCGTCCTTTTTTAATTTTCAAACGCCTAGGCATTAATCGGGGCGGTGGCCAGCCGTCTAACGCCTAGGCGGCGCTAGGCGGGGATTTTTAGAACAGCGATAAGGATTTAATCTCACATATATAAGATTAAATCTTATAGCTATTATTGTAGTTAAGATTTTAATAGTTTTTTAATTAATGTAGAAGTACAAAAAAATATGCAAACGCTCGTAATATTAACTTCGACAACTTTTGAGAAGAGGTCAATTCCGAAATTTGTTACTATAATCTCATAAACCATAGATTAAAATTTAACTATTGTTGTAGAATGTAAAAAAAAAAACATATATATTTATATATATATAATCGCTCGTAATATCAAGCTCGACCCTACAAGAGTACAATGAATGAATTTGATCTTCAATTTAAAATATTTGCACTAGTGGATACCACAAAATATTATGTTCTACTTAATGAAAGTATAAAATAAACTCAAAATGTTTGTTGAATCTATCATTTTGAAGGAAACACATTCTACAAAATTAGTTCCAACGATCTAACCGTCAAACTCGTTTGTATATGCTCCAAGATCGCATACGTAAAAAATTGCAAAAAACAGACATTTGGATATTAGGCAACGGGACGAAACCTTTCAACGGTTATAAACAAAAACTCACGATTTAACAGTTATTTTAACTCCGATTTTGATGATTTTTTACAAATACACTCCTCAACCCTACAAGAGTATGATGAATGAATTCGATCTTCAATTTAAAATATTTGCACAAGTGGATACCTACTTAATGGAAGTATAAAATAAACTCCAAGTGTTTGTTGAATCTATCGTTTTGAAGGAATACACATTCTACAAAACTAGTTTCAACGATTCAACCATCAAAGTTATTTGTAAATGCTCTAAGATCACATATGTAAAAAATTGCAAAAATCGGACATTCAGATATTAGGTAACGAGACGAAACCTTTCGACGGTTATAAACGAAAACTCACGATTTAACGGTTATTTTAACTCGTATTTTGATGATTTTTTACAAATACACTCCTCAACCCTATAAGAGTACAATGAACGAATTCAATCTTCAATTAAAAATATTTGCACTAGTGGATATTTTGTTCTACTTAATGGAAGTATAAAATAAACTCCAAGTGTTTGTTGAAAAAAATTTGTCAGAAAAAATATGATTACTTCCGACAACAACTAATCACCCTCAAAAATATAAAAGCATTACCAAAATGACTTTTTTCCCTCAAAACATTAAAACATTACCGGGAAGACTTTTTTTCCCTCGAAAATACTAAATCAATTTTGTCAACATGAACCTTCAGAAATAATCATTCTATTTCTGATAAGAACTTTACTCGTCATTAATACAACTGGAGCCAATTTTTCCCGCCAAACAAAAGTGCATTTCGGACGTAACTTGAGCCTTTTTCCAAAGGCATTATGGGAGTTGGTAATAAAAATTTGTTTCATGGCATGTTTCCGACGACCCATATTTTATGGTCTCAAAATGTGTTTTTTAAAACGGAAATGCTCAAGTTTCGTTGGAAATGCACTTTTGCAACCATAAAATATGTGCTTCTTCGTCAGTAATGACTATTTTTTTATGTAATATAAGGTGGTTGTTTATTTTTATTTTGATGTTTTAGTTTATTTTTACTTTTCTCCTATTTTCACACCTTGAGAACAATGTGTGATTTAAGTTTGGGTGGTAAAAATCTCTATCACCTCTCTCCAACAACTAGAATTTAGAATCGTTTTCATTTGGTCCCATCCTTCACAGCTCATATCTTTGCCACGACCATTCACATATTTGGAAGACACAATGCCTTGAGCATCTGAAATTCTTCCTCATAAAGAAGTTTTAATCCATGGTCATCCAACTCCAATATATTGAAACGGAGAGACACTTCCCTCTATTATTCTACTTGAGATGATTTTTCAAATACGTATATAAAATCAGACCCTTCATGTATATGGATGTGATAATTCAGTTCAACTATAAATATATACTCTTATTGTATTGTCTATAATGACATTAGTTAGATATTTATTTTGTTAGACTATAAATTGATCGATCAATATGCAATAATACAAATTACCAATCCGGTGGTTATACAAGTCTGACAAAAGAGCATCAAATCATTCAATATCGTTGAAAATGGAATATAAGCGTCACAAAGTGAATTGATACCTAAATTCAAAATATTCCACTTAAAGGTATATGAGGTAGCTTCCATAGCCAAGCAAATATAACACCATGCAAGAACTTTTTCCTGAACTTTTTCGTAAAAATAAACTTGTGGCGTTTGTTGATGTGCACAGGTATTGGAGAATTTGTCTCTTTCTAGCCATGTTCTTTCTCTTACTTAGCTTTATTTCAGTCTTGACGTTGACCATTTTGCAGGATGTGGCAAGGTGGTGCATATACAGCAATGTCAGTTTGGCTAAACAATATGTATGAGATGTTCCTCAATGGCGAGGATCTACCCCATCTTGCAACTGTCGTCGTATTGTAAGCTGCTCTTTCCTTTGTACAATTTCTTTTCTGATGTTCTTCTTCTAAAAGCCTACTTGATCAAAACTTGCTTAGGGATTATATGGTCTGGGTTGGCTAGGATTTATATGGTCTAGGTAGGTGAGAATAAAAAAAACGTGAAAGGCTATATTTAGGAAATACAAATCGAATTTAGGGTTTTCGTAACTTTGTCATTGGTATTGCATACTTCACCTTGTCTGACTACGGGTGATGTGTTTTTTATTTGATCAGACGAGAGAAGATGGAGAAAAGCTCCATATCACAAGAACTACCGATTGCAAAGGCTGCTTATACATTTCTGCAGGATAGTATGCCAGCATCCTTTTCTTTCCCAAAATGGAACAATGGTCGAATACTCTGCCAGCGCCCTCAGCTCAAGCGGATTCTATCAAGCATTGAACCATCCACAGAGGGGTCCGAAAGGAATAATATAACCACGTTAAGTAACTCTCCGTTTCCTCCTCCCGGAACAAAGACATCCTCCAGTGCTGTCAATAGTGGACGGCATAATGATGCCAGTTTTGATGAAAGAATTAGGACAAGACCAGAGTTTTTGACAAGCACGGTTTAAATACACACTGGATATACTCACCATCAGCTAACAGGTTTTGAAAGTTTTACCGACTTTTTTCCCAAATCAGATGGATTCTTCACTGCCTAGCTTTTCGGAAATTTCCAGTTTCCAAGTTATTGGGTTAGTCCCCTAAGACAAATAACCCTAGCTAAGTACCTAGCCAAAATAGAAAATGCCAAAAACTGTAGGGGTGTCTCTTTGTACTTGTTCATATATCTAGAATGCTAACCTTATATACATTGTTCTAAAAATCCTTGCCTAGGCGCTAGGCGGTTGACCACCGTCTCGATTAATGCCCAAGCGTTTGAAAATTAAGAAATGGTGCCTAGACCTGCTTAGGTGCCCCCCCTAGACCACCTAGCACCTGTCTGCCCACACCCGCCTAGGTTGCGACTCACTCAGACAGAAAATAGACAACTTTCATTTTGCATTTTATTTTTTTCAATAAGTTGTAAGAGACTTGTTGAATACTTAAATGAATACACATCCTCATGTTTTCATTATGTTCCAATACTTCTTAATATATGTGTCATTCTATTTTGTAGTTTATAATGAAAGTATATACATTTTAAGTATAAACAGACACTTATTTACACGAAATATAATAGATTTACTTAAATTCGTCTAGTCCTCCTAGGCGCTAGGCCCCAGCTCACCGCCCGACTAACGGCTAGCGTCTTTTAGAACCTTGCTTATATATCAACTTCTCAACATGAATTGTGTTTATTGTAACAAAAATAGAATAGAGATGGAACTATCATTGGGAACATGTACGTACTTACTATATATGACCTCTTATATACTTTTTTTTCGTCTCCTTTTTTCTTTAGTGATACTATCGTCCCGTTTTTGCTACAGTAAAACTGAATTCCTACTAAGAAGAGGCTCGTCTAACACACAATGCTAACCTAGTAATAATTTCACTTAAGTTTGCTTGCAATGCATCAAGATCGTAAATATAAGGACTTTATTTAATGTTTTTCAATGGAATAACATAAAACTTGGAGGCAAATTAATGAGGCAAGTAGTCAACAGTTAGGCAGATAAGTGTACTGCATGCATTGGGGGCTGGGGGGATTCGTATTGGTCATCTTTCTACAGAAAGTGAATCACCATGGTACTCCCAAATATCCCTCTCTCCAACAACTAGAATTTAGTATCCTTTTCATTTTGTCCCATCCTTCACCTCATATCTTTGCCACGACCATTCACATATTTGGAAAAAGACACAATGCCTTGAGCATCTCAAATTCTTCCTCTTAAAGAAGTTTTGATCCATGGTCATCCAACTCCAATATATTGAACCGAGAGACACTTCCCTCTATTATTCTATCTGAGGTGATATTTCAAATACGTATATAAAATCAAACCTTTCAAGTATATGGATGTGACAATTCAGTTCAACTATAAATATATACTTTTATTGTATTGTCTATAATAACATTAGTTAGATGTTTATCTTGTTAGACTATGAACTGACCGATTAATATGCAATAATCCAAATTACCAATCAGGTACACAAATTTGACAAGAAAGCATCAAATCATTCAATGTCTTTGAAAATGGAATATAAGTGTCACAAAGTGAATTTGATACCTAAATTCAAAATATTCCACTTAAAGATATATGAGGTAGCTTACATAGCCACGTGAATATAACACCATGCGTGAACTCTCCCTCAAAACTCATCAACATCCAATCGCGTTTAGCCGATCCCCGTACAAAATAAGAAGCTTTTAGTTTAAATACAAAATTCAAAAGAATTTTAAGCTAGAAAACCGTATTTTCAGTTTACGTACTAGTTGAAAAGTCAAACTAAATTTGCTAGTGTAATTGACAATACTGTCCAACCCTACCATCATAAGGCCATAGCCATTAACCTTCCCAATGAGTTCGGACAAATATGCATGCATAAGCGGAAAAAAATTTTGACTACGTTGATCTCTTAGGGCGTAGAGTCTAGTTCTTAGATTTTGGGCTCCGCCCAAAACCTGAGACATACACCCCAAGCCCTAAGGTCCTCCTAAGAACATTCTAAACCCTAAACACAAATGATGCAACTTCTAAAACCCTAAACCCTCATAATCAACTATGGACTATAAGGGACCTTATAAAATCGAAAAAAAAAATATGCTCTCGAGGATAAGATGGTAATCTTCCATGTCCTTCATTTAGTTATAGGTTTGTTTTTTTTTTTTGTTTCAATGTGTTGATGCACAAAATTAGCGAGAATTTTAGTACAACAGAAAATGTTAAGTTTGTGACCTTCGCTAGATTGCTCCGGTCACTGGTGTGGATAAATATGTAAATGGATAGGGACAGGGAAGCAAACACAAGATGTACCCAGATTGGCTACGTCCACAGAGTAGAGGAGTTCTCATTAATTGTGAAGGGTTTGCACAAGTACATAAGTTCAAGCTCTCCTTTAGTGAGTACTAGTGAATGATTTAGTACAAATGACATTAAGCAATATTGTAAGAGAATGATCTCTATTTATAGAAGAGAGTTTTTAGTTTCATCCTGACATTGACACGTGTCGTGTTGTAATTGGCTTCTGATGTCGACACGTGTCGCGCTGTGATTGACCTCCTAGTTGGAGGGAAACTCTTCTGGGTCCTTGACGGTATAACATTGACCGGTGCTCAGTAGTTTCGGGATTGATCAAGTATGGTACAAACACGTTTTTTTTTTTTTGGCAACATAAGGTGGTATATAACCCAAAACTAACTCAATAAATTATTACAAACAATTCGAGTCCTAGAGACTTCGATCATATAATCAAATAAATGCGTCCAAATCATTTACATGAATTTTCAAAATAATTGCATCCAAGATTCATATTATAACTCAAATTGGCAAGGCGGTCTGGAACAACATTCTTAAAACATATGCTCAACTTGGTATTTAATACAAATATTGATATCTCCATGTATTTATGCCCACAAAGCCAAAATGTTCAAATCATGATCATTTTCTATTATATCGGTATAGCTTGCTAATAAGCTTTCTCGAGAATAAGTCTCCATCCTAATATTTTTCCACAAGCAAAACAAAGATTCCCAATGTGGGGTTAAAGCCATAGGGAGGAAAAAAAATTAAAGAAATAAAACACAAGGATTCTCCTATCGGATATATGAAATGCCCACGCTTAGATAGGTGATTGCTACTGGTCCATGGCTGCATGTACCAAACACCATGATCCTTATTGTATCCTTACAAAGGGAACCGATCCAAAGGAATTGAGCTCACTCATCAAATGATCCGGGCCATTAAAATTTGATTCAACAGTTACAAACAGAGGGTCCACTAAAAGTTATAATAATTGTAGCCGTTGAATGAATTTTTAATAGCCCGGATCATTTGATTATTGAGCTCAGTTCCTTTGGATCCGGAGGGAATCCGGTTCCCTTACAAAGACTCCCCCACAATCAAGTGGAGCCTACACTACTATACCCACATCCAAACATGCCCATATATAATTTCATCTCTCCAAAATTTAACCTCACGACACTTCATTTTACCTATAAATACACATACTCTACATCCCAAACTCATACAAACAACATATTCTCACTCCTCCCTATGAGCTTTTGCCTACTTAGTCGTTTAACCTTCTGATCACCAAACATGTCTGGGGTTTGGGTTTTCAATAATGGCGTCGTCCGGTTGGTGGACGGGGCGAATTCCTTGCAAGGCTCCAACGCCCGGGCGCGTAAGGTGCTCGTCCACACTCCAACTGACGAGGTCATCAGTTCTTACGCCGTGCTCGAATGCAAGCTGTCCACGCTCGGTTGGGAGCGATACTACGACGATCCGGACCTTCTTCAGTTCCACAAACGATCCACCGTCCATCTCATCTCTCTCCCCAAGGATTTCAGCAAGTTCAAGTCCATGCACATGTATGACATCGTTGTTAATTCCTCCTTCCCATAATATTATAATATTGTACATAAAAGAGCTAGATTAATCCAAAATATTCAAAATAACTATATGTTCCACAAATATCTTGCAGATGAAAAAGATTGATCTAAAAGGTTGGAAGTGATGTGGAATTTCATTTGGCATAAATATGTAGCATTCTTGGCTTCGATGGATGCCTTGTTGACTGGACTAAGAGAGGAAGGGGCAACGCCTACTCGCTTAATTTGCTTTGTATTCTTTCATGGTCTGTAAGATGTGTCAAAGATCCTTTATTTATTCATTGAATACAACGAGATATTTATATTAAGTAATGAGTCAGTCATAATAATTTGGTTAAAACTCGTATTGGCGAGAGATAAATTTAAAATATTTAACTTACAAATAAATAAATAAAATAATTGTGGTTCATAGTTAGTACTGGACTATTTTAAGCACTAAAATTTTAAGGGTCCGATATGAGAAGGTATTTTGAACAGGTACAGAATAACCTTTGCAATATAATCGGGAAGGCAATCACCACACGGCTTACACGCTTCTTCAAATGGTAACAAGGCAGCAGAAACCTAAGAAAAATATGGTAACGTATTAGATCTAACATACCATATCAAGCATGCAACTTCAGATCAGATAAATATTGCAACTCACTTTTCCTCCTCTTGATATTAATGCATTAGCTTGTACGTCCAACTCCTTTTGCTTACTTGCTATATCTTTTTGTGGAACCGTGCTTTTATATTTGCACATATGGCCTGGAAATAAGTACATTATAAATTTATAAGTACTAAATCATAAGGATATGCGAACAACAACATCATGTCTATAAAAGAGCAAAAATTGTTCACATCTCAGAATACTAAGGCCGGTAATGAACTCATATGAATTTGAGAAAAACTGGTGAAGGATATGTTGCTCCAATCTGAAGCATGTGTAACCACTTATGCCACTGCTGGTTCTTTTGTATGGCTTATCTATTTGGTGGCTTATTTCGGGAGACACAACCCTTTCCACAAGGACCACATAACATACCGGAGACTTTATGGAGAAGGTTTGAAGGTCTACTAAGGCAGCTGCTGCCCAAGCCAATTCGGTGGGTGTGGGCTAGGCTACACTCAAATCCTTGTGTTTACATGTGTGACTGTTATTTGGCCGTCTAAATATATGATATATCGATCCAAATTCACGCATCAACAATATAAAAGTTTCTAGTGTTAACTTACAGAAATGGTATTAAGTTTTCACTTTAAAGCTCAAGGGGAACGATCATTGTGCTGTTTGCCACAAATAGGTTGACTCGTGGAAAGTTGAAGTAAGAGTGGGCTGTTATACTTACTACAATCAAAAGGGCGGATCATTGTTGTGCTGTTATGTGGAAAATTTCTTGGACAGCTCACTTGTACCATATCTAAATTGAGAGTGATCGTGCTTTTCCGTTTTATTTTATTTTGAAACAACTAGGAACTTCTTAGTTATAAATTGCATAACAAAGAAACTGAATCGCCAAGGAAGGAGGATTGAGGACACAAATAAAAAGAAGGTTCTTGCAATGTCGACTAATCGTTTAGTTCCCTGATAATAACAGAAGATTTTGCAACAAGAAAGATGCCTACACTTTCTAACCTTGCTTTAAAGCAATAAAGCAGAAATAAGTCATACCCCATACATGTATGTATCCAGCAAACGCCCGGCCGAGCGAAGCCTGCACAAGAACAATTCCAGAATCATCAAAATATGAAATATGAAACAACGAGTAAGCAAATGAGCTTCGGAGTTTTTTGGCCGAAAATCGAACTTGGAATTGGTCGTACAATAATAGTTTAATCAAAGAACAAGCACAGCAACTTAAAAGATAAACTTAAACAATCAAATGAGTCGATTTCTTCGAGTATATGCGTAATCAGCTTGTGCTAGACTCATCCACACACAACACCACCCTCTTTCCCTTTCTCGAATTTCGCCTCTGCTTCCTCGCCGGAATTCTCAACGAAACCGTAGTGGAAAACCTAATTTGAGTGAAACACCAATAAAAAAACATGAATTTTTTATTTTCTTAGCAAACATTTGAAGATTAAAGAACAATAATATCCACTTATCAACAATTTGATTACTTACTATGCCGTCTTTGGACGGTTGGACCGCTCATCTTCGGCTACGAATTTGATGCCGGAATCGGCAACGGCGATGACGCCTGAATACTACCAAAGCGCTCGTCCATCATCGCCCTTTCAAACGGCAAAGCAAGCTGGAATCCAATTAGGGATTGCATTTATTTTCTTGCAGGTTTTTCTCAGGAAACAAACAGACCAGAAAGGAAAGGATTGAAGAGTGTGAAGTGAAAAGCAACTGACTTTAGATAAGGATAGCAATGTGGCGGTGGATTGGAGCTTCATGCCGACTTGGAAACTGAGCCGCCGCCGCTGCCATGTTTTGGTACTGTTATCATGGCGGAGGCTGAGGCGATTAGGCAAGGGATGGAGATTAATTATTATTGCTAGTGATGTTATGGCGGACTCAAAAGGGGTTGATCCAAATGATTAACAAGGAGCTCAGGGCTGATATGGCACTTCATCTTTATTTCCACGATATTTGGAGGATGACAAGCTTGTTCTAGTTGGTGAAGTTTTGCTTTACGCTTGGCCATGCAATCGTGCATCTCATTTGGTGGATGCACACATAGCTAAGTATGGCGGGAGTTTTGATTGAAATGAGTTAGGTTTGAAGTTTTTTTTTAATATTTTAAAAGAAAATGCAAATGTAACTGTTCGCACTTAAATTTAACAAATTTCCATCTTTTGATCAAAAAAAAAAAAAAAATCTATCTATTTTAGATGCATCTCACCATTAGCTCATGTATCTTTTTTATTTATTTACGTCACTAGCTATTACATTTATTTCCTAAATAACTAAATTTTACCTTGACAATAATTACTTACGTTAATGGTACCTTTAATTCTTTTCCAAGGCAACTCATTGGATGTTTCAGTTTTTGAATTATTTTATGTATGAATTTTATCTATTTCAAAAGGTTTTACAATTTGTTAGCCTTTTCTGTTTATTTTTATATGTATTTGTCATATCAAAGGTCGATCAACACAAAATAATTAGACAAGCTTTGCTTACAAGATTAACGTGTAGTTATTTTTTTAAACTAATTCTTTTTTATATACCTTTTAGCTAACTCGATACATCTATAAAAGTCTATTACTTATAAATAGACCTGGCATTTTTCACCCGACTCGTTAACCCGACCCGACCCAACCCGTTAAAATTAGCATTCGGGTGGGTGATAAACGGGTCGGGTGGTTAACGGGTCAACCCGTTAAATAACAGGTCATTTTGGGTGAACCCGCGAAACCCGTTAAGACCCGTTATGGAGGACTTTTGTGTAATTTCAACTGTTCTAATAGAAAACCCTCAGGTTCCTCACGTCTCTCTCTCTCGCACCGTCGTCACACGGCTTTGCTCTCCGCAAGTGTTGCCATTGCCGTCGGTACTGGCAATTCCTCCCAACGTTCTTCAAAACTTTAACCCCATGGCTCCTTTTCCATTTCTTCCCCACCTCTCTCTCGCTCCTCTCTCTCTCTCTCCCTCTCCCTACAAAACCTTCATCTTCGACGTTTCTGCTAATCAGTTCATGTTATTTCTAATATCAGGTAAGTCTCTCTCTATCTCTCATTTCTTTGCTTTAGAGTTCTTATGGAAGATTGTTGCAATTTTCGGTAGACCCTTATTGTTTTCTGGATTTTGTAGGCCATTTTGCGTATGAATCAATGAGGTTCCATTATTTGCTAATACGGGTTGATTTGTTTTGTCGTAAATATGTTAAATTGCAGTCTCATTTGTTATGTATGAGCTTAAAGGGAGCTTCTTTCCCCTTCCCAACTGCTCGCTTTGAATTTGTCAAAATGTTAGCCATAAATGTTTCGATTTGGGTTCGTTTTAGTTTCGAAGTATGAATTTTCCCAATTTTTCTGAAATATTGAAAGGGAGTTGGTTTTCCAGGTTCCAAAATAAAATGTAATTTTGGTATAGGACCTTTTGTGTGTGTGGAGAATGAAACTATTATAAGTGGCATTCGAATTTATTTATCAATTTTTCGATGGAACGTTTAATTATTGTTTGTATTCTTGTGCATCGTAATAAAGCTCCAGGTGTTCATCAAATCACTCAATGACTTGCATATGCACACAAACCGAATGAAGGAAGGAGGTGGCTAGCACAAGCACTAGGATGCTAAGAACGGGTGTAATTGATTTGGATGAAATGTGTAAAAAAAAAAAAAAAAAGGTTAACGGGTGAAACGGGTTGAAACGGGTGACATGTTAACTTAACAGGTTGGGTTTGGGTGACCCGTTAAGCTTAACGGGTTGGGTTCAGATGACCCGTTAGCTTAATGGGTCGGGTTCAACCCGACCCAAACCCAATAAACCCGACCCGTTTACAACTCTACTTGTAAAGTATGTTGGTGTTGAAGTGTGACGCAGTTTAGCCCATTAATTCATATTGGTTCACAGCGACTTGAATTTGAAATATTTTGCGATATTGAGCATCCAAACACTATAATGTTGAAATCCGACCCCGTATTTCTTTTTTGCCATATACAACATACTTCGCTATGCAGTAATTTTTCTTAGTTAGTTAGTAGTAGGGCAAAAGATTCTGTATTAGCATGAAAGAAATCTAAATCCCTTTTTAGACAAGTTAACCGGTTGTTAATAACAAATCCAAGTAATATTAGTAACAAATCCAATTCCGGTTTGGCTTCGGTTGTTTCTTGTCCTCTTCCTACAGGGATGAAGACCGCATCTGTTTGACTATATATAATCGCGCTTAACATTATATAATTGCTTCTTGTACCGGCAGCAAAGCAAACTGATTTCGTCTTCTCCTTCCCAAGTTCTCCATGGTTCGGTCTTTTGTTCTTATTTCAGGCATCGTCAACAACGCCTATCACAAGATCAAGAAGAAGAAGAAACCTCGAAACGCCTCATTGTCCATACAATCTCTTCCGAACGAGGTTCTGGTCCAAGTACTCGCAAGGGTCGCTTCACGCTCTTTTGATGATCTTTATTCAGCCAAGTTAAGTTGCAAGAATTTCAACGAAAGTGCTCAAGATGATCACATATTCGAGCATGTCGACATTAGCAAGTTCCCGCTGGTTTCTTGGCGCGCAAGTGAAAAACGCACGAGGTTTCTGAAGCGGTGCAGGGATCTTGGCAATGCGGAGGCCTTGTACAGGCAAGGGATGTGCGACCTCTTCACAAGCAAGAGGATAGAACCTGCGGGGATCGAGTCTCTGAAGAGGGCGGCCTCAAAGGGTCACGTAGAAGCAACATACGTGTACGGAGCGATCTTGGTGTGTTGCGGGGGCGATTCAAGGCAGAAAGGACTCGAGCTTCTGTACTCACTCAACTGCCACAAATCGAGAGGGTTAAGCGTGACAGAATGCCGAGAGAGGATTAAGGAATTGATTTGGAACACAATGTGGGTTAATAGGGAAGTAATAGGTAGAATTGTAGAAGCGCACGATGAGAACGCTGCCATGAAAGCATGCAACGACTGTGGAGATCCACAAGGTCCGTACACAATCAAACAAGGATGGGATTTCGATGACCATGATAAATTCAGTAGCTGTAATTCATGCAGATGGCATCAAGAAGTAAATATATTTTGTGATATATTAAGTTGTAGGCATACAAATTATGATTAGATTGTACTTGGAATTTTGAGATTTAAGTCTTATCGGATTTGTAGTTTGTAAATAATTTCTTTTGTTTATTAAGTGCTTAATTACGGTTTTTAATTTTAATCATAAGTGTTTAATTCCTTAAATGTACGTTTGCAAACATTCATATTCATGTTTGAAGTTTTCTACAAGTGATAACATACATGTCGGATGTAAACTTGCGTTGCTTGCTAGCAACCTTTTCGATAATTGAAACTTTGTTTTAAAGAGGCGAATCCTCGAGATACTTTTCACTTGTAACTGACATGACATAATCTTTGTTGATACTCAGAAGAGTCGAGGCACATCGAGGTCACTACAACGTATATAGCCATGGGTATAAGATAATCATACATTACGAGTATAAATCTGTTCGTCGCAGGAATCTCCTGGCGGACGAGCACACAGCTCCCCTGGGAGAATGGCGTCGGTTGAGGGTATATGTCGTACTTCTGCTTTCTTCTCGGGCTCGCTCGGGCAAGCCTTTGTCGGGCAGATCTTGGTCGGGCAAGACACACTTCGGGCAAGGCTCGTCGGGCAGTTCTGAAAGAGAAGGACAGAGTTAATTTGAAAGGGTGCCTTTGTGGGGCCTTAGGTGTAGGCCTTAAGGCTCACAATCAAGATTAACTTTGTCGTGCTCAGGCGTGCCACTGCCATCTTCAGTATGGCAGATGTTGAATGGGTGTTAAGCTTTGATTGAATATGTATACGCCCGAGAAACCAAGTTAGATATAACAGGTGCCTTTGTGGGGCCTTAGGTATAGGCCTTGAGGCTTCCTGTCAAACTAAACCAGCGCTTGGATGTATCATATTTGGTCTTTTATGGTTGCCAGAGTTTTATCACTATTATACCTTTGATTATCTGAATCCAAGAGGTAGGACGAACCCAAATGAGTGCCTTTGTAGGGCCTTAGGTATAGGCCTTGAGGCTTCCCATCAGAGTTAATCCTTATACTCGGACCAACTAGACCGCAACATGAAATGAAGCTAAATAGATGCCTTCGTGGGGCCTTAGGTGTAGGCCTTGAGGCTTTCTATCAGAATTCACTCCATGCTTAAGCCTTTTCTACGAATCAAGATATAATAGCAACAAAACGGAGAAATAGATTGATTACTTGCGCCCCAAGTAACTTCGGACTTCTCGCTTATCAAGGATTGTCGTGGATGGGTTGAGTCCACATAGAGTTCTTTTTTATGCCTTGAGGCCAAGGACTTTTAAACTGATCTTTAAATTACATGCCCGCCGGGCTTAAGACTTAGATCTGATTTGAACTCTGACGCGATTCAGATCGGATTCAAGTGCTGAAGACTCATTTTCATTATGACTTTGCTAGAAATAACTTGTATATAACTGGGAATATATAACATGTTATTGTGCTTTTAAAAGAAAGAAAAGACAAAGACAGAGCAAAGATAGTCGGGTAAGTTTGAACCTTATCGGCCAAGGCTGAACTTCTTACAAAATCTATCTTTGTGGCTCTGTCAGATGTCTGAAAGCTTTTAGAGGGGTTGACGGGGGAGAAGAGGATACAAAATGAATCGATACCACCATGAACAAGGTAGCAGAGCTATTACAGGGGTTTGGGAAGGTTTATCCCGAATGGGATGAAGGCTTGTGCTGACTACAGCTTCGTTGAAGGCAAATCTGGCTTGAGCAGAGTTTTGGCTTTTGTTTGTTTGTTTGAGTGTCTCTAATTCTGTCTTCTCTTCCTCCTTTTATAGACGACTTCAGCTTGGGTTCCTATAGCAATAGCGGTGCCCGAATGCGGTTTGGTGATGACTCACTAGCTTTTTTACATGAATGCCACCAATAAAGTACTTTATTGGGCTGTGTAGTGACTGAATAACCTACCCCCTGTGGTCTTTGAGCAGGTAAGCAGGTGGCCTTTGTAACTTGTGCCCAGCCGAAAGCCTCTTTCCTGCCTCCTAAGTTTTCCTCTGGGCCTTGGGTTTGGGCCGACTTTCTCTCTGGCCCAAAGTTCAGATTTTATCCCAAACAGTGCCCCCTTCAATTGATGTTAAGGTTGGGATCCCAAGCGCCAACATTAAATGAATAACAACATGCGTGCCCTTTGAGCTTCTTGCGACCTTTAAACTGCCTTCTGGTTCTCTATAAATTCTGGCTTTGGAAACCCTTTTCAAATCATCACATCTTCTTCATTTTGGTCTTCACCCTTCATCCACCTTGAATCCTTCCGTCTCCCCACTGAGAAATGGGTTCCTCAGGTTTTGAGTGGAGTTTCCTGAAACTCCCCTTTCGTGAGAAAAAAAAGAAAGTTTTCACCTGATGATTGCTACCTCCAACACCTTTGGTCGATCACCCCTCTACCTCCAACACCCTTGGTCAGGCGGTCTCCTCTTGATGACTGATCTTCCCACAACTTGTGGTGATAAGTCGGGCTTCATCATCATACATGGTGAAGATCTTGTGGGAGGGTCCTCTACCAAGCTCATGTTGGCCGCACAACCCAATCACCTGATTGGGTTTCAACCAAGAAGATAGCGGGAAACCAGTTGAAGACACCAACACTTTCAGATAGGATCAAATGTAATACATAAGATTTGGTATCTTGTAATCTCATCAATTTGTCGACATGAAATAAGTATTTTTATCTATTTCTGCATCTCTGCCTTCTTTAAATGTTTGGATGAACAAAATACCGTATGTGAATTTCTAAGGTCCGTCTCACTCTGCTCCCTCTTCGATATAGCAATCCCTAACATCCCATAATGTAAGACAATATTTCTTCAAGAATTTTGCATTAATAGGGTGTTTCTGCTCATTGCCTTCGAGGTCTGCTAGATAATATCCTCCTTTGTTCAAAACCCGACTAATAATAAAAGGACCTTCCCATGTCGGGCTCCATTTCCCGAAGCCACGCAGCTGAGCACCTAGCGGGAGGACCGTTTTCCACGCTAAATCTCATTCCTTGAAAGACTTTAACTTCTCCCTTTTGTTATAAGCTCGGGCAACAGCAATCTTTCCTTCTTGAATCTGGTTCAAGGCTTCAATTCGGGCTGCATCCAGATCTTCAATACCTTGACACATGGCTTCGATATATTCTGCACTATGCAACCCAAATTGGTTTTGAATTCTTACGGAACTGACGTTGATTTCCATAGGAAGCACTGCATCTTGCCCGAAAGTCAAGGCATAAGGAGTCGTGCCTGTCCCCGCTCTTTTAGAAGTCCGGTATGCCCACAACGTGTTCCCTAGCATCTCATGCCACCTTTCTGGACTATCAATCACCATCCTTTTAATAATGTTGACCAAGATCTTGTTGATAGCCTCTGCTTGCCCATTTGACTGAGGGTAGTATGGACTGGATTGGATCATCTTTATTTTGTACTTGCTTGCAAACTCTTCAACCTCCTTTGAAATAAAAGATGGCCCACGATCCGTTACTATAGTTTCAGGCACCCCATACCTGTGCAGGATCTTGGTCTCAATAAAATTCTTGACCACGGCTGAAGTTATGGATTTTACTGCCGATGCTTCTACCCATTTGGTGAAGTAATCCGTTGCCACAATTATGAAAGTATGTCCCTTACTAGAGGCCGGATAAATCTGCCCGATGAAGTCCATTGCCCATCCTCGGAACGGCCAAGGCTTGACCACTGGATTGAGAGGTACTGATGGTACGTGCTGGAGAGGTCCATGTCTCTGACATTCTTCACATCCGCGGGCATAGGACTTACAATCTTTTTCCATGTCGGGCCAGAAATAACCATACCTTCTGAGTAGCCATCTCATCTTTGTTCCCGCTTGATGTGCTCCACATATTCCCTCATGTACTTCGGCCATTACTCTCATGGATTCCTCTAGGCCTAAGCATTTTAATAGCAACCCATCTGGGGTCTTTCTCAACAGATTTTTTGTCCACAAGACATACTTGGTTGCTTGCTGCCTGTTCTTCTTACTTGTGGGTGAAGAAGGATCTTTCAGATACTGAGTAATAGGTGTCATCCAATCTTCCACCTCGGTCACTAGAACCATTACATCCAGACTGAACCTCCGATCTAAGATAGAGGGAAGGTTTCTTGTTTGGATCTCAACATCAACACCATACTTCATTTCTTGCATAGGCACTCCTGAAGCTAGTTGCGCCATTTCATTGGCTGCCAAGTTAGATCCCCTAGGAATGTGATTGACTGATATCTCAGACTCCCACAAACTCAGCAGTTGTGTTGCTGCCATATAGTACCCTGCCATAGTGATATGTCTGCATTTGAACTCGCCATTTAGTTGATTTATCACTAACTCTGAATCACCAAAGATCTCTACTTCAGTTGCCCCCAAGTCCATCAGGATTTCCAGGCCGATAATCAATGCCTCATACTCCGCCCGATTATTGGTATTTTCTTGATAATCAAGTAGGAAGGAATAGTAATGATAAACCCCTTGAGGGTTTATATAATCACAATTCCAGCTCCTGCTGCCTTTTGAGTGTAGGATCCATCGAAATATAGCTTCCAAGGTGTAATCCAAAGACCTGCTACTCTCCTTATCTCTTGCTGGATCCAATCTTCTTTGCCCGAAACATCACTTCTTGGTGGGATCCATACATTAGCAACTTCTAAACTTCCCGGGATATTGATTTCCTCGCTTTGAGACTCCTGATGTTCGGTCAGGAAGTCAGCAATTGCCTGGCCTTTGACTGCCCTCTGGGGTATGTACTGAAAACTGAATTCTGATAATGCTAGAATCCACTTCCCAATCCTCCCTGCTAGCATAGGTCTTGACAACATATACTTTATCACATCTGTTTTGGCGATAATGTGCACATGACAAGGTAGCATGTAATGCCTTAGCTTGCTGGCAGTAAAATATAGAGCCAAACACAGTTTTTCCACCGGAGAATATCTTGTTTCTACCTCGGTCAGAATTCTGCTGAGGTAATACACAACCTGCTCTTTTCCTCCTTCATTATTCTGGGCTAGTAGACTCCCAATTGATCTTTCCGATGCAGAAATATATAGTTTCA